AGTTCTACAATGTTTACTTAATTGACACGTTTGACAAGAAAAATCAGAAATAGACATTGACTTAAACAGTTTTGGGAATACAACTTTCAAAGACTCAAAAGACAACTGACCAAGGCGACAATGCCATAAATAAACTTTACTCTTACAGGACTGACTCATAGACTCTATAACATCAGAATGAACAATGTGAAAAGGAAATTCAGATTTACTATTTTTTTGAAAAAAAATGAGTTCTACAATGTTTACTTAATTGACACATTTGACAAAAAAAATCAGAAATAGACATTGACTTAAACAGTTCTGGGAATACAACTTTCAAAAACTCAAAAGACAACTGACCAAGGCGACAATGCCATAAATAAACTTTACTCTTATAGGACTGACTCATAGACTCTATAACATGAAAACCAGCCCTATTCTCCAGCATGTAAAGTCCATCAACCATACGTCCCCTACCAATCGTCCTCCCCGAGGCCAGATCCTAAATCACACAATGAGAAGGAAAAAAAGTCACGGAGCAATTTAAGGAATTAGTAACACTACTAACAGAGAACAAATTAATGGAAAATTTTGGAACATGAAGGACATCAGAAAGGGTAAGACCAAGAGGAAGAGAGAGGGTTCCTTGACCAGCTATGGAAGTGTATGATCCATCGGCTAGTCTCACCTTGTCTCTTCTAGAAAGAAGGTGATAGGTTTGAATGTAAGAGGATGTACCAATCATGTGTTTTGACGCTCCAAAATCAATGATCCATGGAGAGTCAGGGGTGTGAGAAGCAACATGGAAAGTTGTGGCAGGGTTACCTGACGTAGATGCAAATGAGGTTGAGGAAGGAGCATCCATTTGACGAATTGCTCTACCATAGAGTTCTAAATGGTCATGAAAGGAATTCATAATATCCTCCATCGGGTCAGATCCAGTGAGATGTGTCTGAGTCACAGTAGAAATAGGGGGCAGATTCTCCCGAGTAACCATGTTGGCCATGTGGTGTTTCTTTGTACCTTGCTGTCCGGACCTCTGATTCACATCTGAACCTTGCTTCTTAGTCAGATCTTGAGCCCATTTTGGTTTCCCATGAAGATCCCAACAGATATCTTTGGTGTGTAAGGGTTTTTGGCAATGAGTGCACCATAATTTGTCCTTATCTTCTATTTTTTTCTGGAGATCTCCTTTCCTAGAAGAAGATCCCACACTAGTAGAGACACCCCCTTTTGCAGCCAACACAACTGCATCCTCACCAGGGTTGTTCATCAAATTCCTTCTGCTCTCTTCAGATTGTACAAGAGAATAGACTTCCTGAACTGAGGGGAGATCCTTAGAGCTGAGAATTTGTACTCTGATAGATTCATACATAGGATTCAGACCATGTAAGAAGGCAAATACTCTTTTTCTGGGAGACAAGTTTCTTGTACATTTTGGCATTCTCATCACACTTCCAATCCACATTCTGGTAATGGTCCAATTCCTTCCAGACAGAAATCAAGTCAGAGTAATATACTGATAAACATCTCTCCCCCTGTCTACAAGTAGATGATGCTACCTGCAGTTGATAAATCTTGGCATAGTGTCACAATTCTGAATATGTAGATTTTGCTTGTTCCCAGATCTCATTTGCAGTTTCAGCCCACATGAAATTCTTCTTTATTTAGGGTTGCATGGAGACCAAGAGCCAAGACATAACCATACTATTCTCCTGATTCCATCTATCATATTCAGCACTCCCAGAGGGGGGTTCTTTGATTCTCCAATTAATATAGCCTATCTTCCCCCTTACAGTGATGTATAACTTGATCCCTCTTGACCACTCTAGGTAATTTAAACCATCAAGAGGGACAACAKCCATWGGAAAGGATAGRTCMCCCCCACCCATTCYATTCAGCATTGAGGAAACTCCAGATGTGGCTGAATCTTCACTACCCATGATTTCGGGTTTAAGAAAAAAAAAACACAACAACCAAGGGAGTACTGTCGTACAGGGCTGTTACAGAAACAGGTCCTTCTGACCTACGGTTTCACTGGGAGCAAAGACTGAACACTACTGCTGCTATACTTGAACAGGTCTGTATAACCTACGATTTAGTAGGAATCCAAAAAACCAACACTGCAGTTGCAGTACTTGAACAGGTCTGTATGACCTACGATTTTACAGAGGTCATATGACCCCCCAACAGAATGGAAAATACAAGGTGAAGTTCACCACACACCTAATTGGCAAACTTGGTAGCCGAACAGTCAATGAGATCAACAGGGTAGCCGAACAGTCAATCAATGAGATCAATACAACACCAACTCTTTAACCATCAGATGATAGCCTCTCTATAAACCAGAACTTCCTCTACGAACCTCAGATGATAGCCTCAATACAGTCGAACAGACAATGGATACAACTTCTGGGTTGGAAGATGAAAAGTCTCTATAACCATAACCCTTTTTCTGTGCTGGAAGATGAAAAAATCAGGCAGGCATCTTCTTGCATAAGATCGAACTAAACACAATAGATTAGTAGTTCGATGGATACAGTACTGGGAGATGAAGAGACTATATGCTCGACATGAACACAACAGCTTTGCTTGACACCACCCTTCAGGCCCGGATGACTTGCTCTGATACCATGTTGAGCAAGAGCAAGAGAAGAGAGGAGAGGAGAGGAGGAAGAGAGGAAGAGAGGAGAGTTGAGGCGAGAGGACTGAAAGCCCCAAAAGAATACAGCAGGCGTGGGCAGTAGATATTATTTATACTAGTCTAGTCGTACAACATAAAGATGGGTAAAATTACAACAGTACCCTTGCGGTACTAAACCTGTGTACAATAACATATGTCAATAGTTTGCATGTATATAATGAATTATTTTAATATTATATACATTTCCATAGATGTGCCTGTGAGTCCATGTTTTCTCATCTTTTTATTTTTTTGATGAATAATCCATGTTCTCATCTTGCTGAGTCAGACTTTGGGATACACATTACATTTTGACTTCTCTGTCCATGTCCATCCAATACTGCCTTCCAAACCCTTTTGACATGGATTCTGATACCAATTAACAATAAATAATTCAAACCTGAATTCTAGATTGTGATTTGATTAACGATCATATCAAAATTGGAAATATGACAATTCAATCTATTAAGTATCCAATTCATTTAGCTAGCTACTTCTCTCAGTTATTTTAACTGTATATCTAGATGTAAATGTGCATTTCAAAGATCAAATCCCATCACCCACCCTCTACTCCCTATCATCTACTACTGATCTTGGTTGTCGGTTTTTTGTTTTCTTTCTTTTTTCTTTTTTATAATCTACTTATGGGATTTTCAGTTTTCACTGGGAATTTGAAAGGATCACAAATGAAGAATAAAGTAGCAATCACACATCAATAGGCCCACCATTGATGATCATGATCATCTAATGGGTTCAAAGTAATGGCAAAAACCAACTTTTTTATTTACACTAGTCATATGACATGTGCACTGTGCACAAAATCCATGAGAGATAAGAGAGACAGAGCTGGTTTTAAGTCATTTAGTAGAGAGGAAGGACCCAGAAGGGAATAAGAGAGGTGGGGACATATTTGGAAATATTTTTTCCTTTTGTACTTCATATATATATATATATATATATATATATATATATTTGTGTCTCTCATTCATACTAACAAGGTTGTTTTTTGTCCATGGTTTTCATTAAGAAATCAATTCAAACCTCATTAATGTCAAATTTCCATAAAATTGAATTCAGATTCAGGATCTTTCAGATCTATCAGATATCCATAAAATTGAATTCAAACTAGAAGTGACCACTAGAAGGTTACACGTTTACTCCAACCACAAGGTGAATAAGGTGACCATAGAAACAATATCCATCATTTTTTTGCCCTTGATGTTATGCCCAAGGGATCATAACATCAACAACACAAATGCAGAATCAGTTTTTTCAAGGACATAATAGAACTGCCCCACCTTTGGCCAACACATTAGCTGATCTAGGAACTCCGCACTCTGCCCAATGATGTCTATCCTAGATGCCTAAAATCAGATTTTTCTAAGATCTAACAAAACCACCAACCACCAAACTCATTAGGAGAACCACGGACCTGTCCAGCGACATCTTTGCTTTTAAACTCTCCAGGGTAAGACCGCACAAGACATGGAAGGGGACCATCTTTAGAGGGATCATAACCTGGAGGCAAATATAGTGTTGTAGTAAGTTGAACACCATCCTTTCTCTGGTACCTAATCATCTCTTTCTGTAATGAGGCCAGCTGAGGGTATGGATGGGGGAAGTTAGTAATTTGGTAGACCTTCTTATCTAACCAACTCTGTATGTAATATTGAGTGTTTTCTGTTTTTTACTCTTTAGAAGTCAATTTTTTCAGTTGATCAATGCACAAGCCACCCTCATTCTGATCTGACATCAAGGCAACAATTGTCTCATCCTGAACTGACATCCACCTCAGTTGTACTTATTTTTTGGACATGGTATTTCTTTATTGCCTAGCAAAGTTAATTCAGAGTATGAATAAAATTCAGTTTTGTGAAATTCTATCACTTGGTATACACTTCCTAACCCTGATTTCTCTCCCTCTTAATTTCACTTCAGTTTCTCTTTTTCCCTCTCTAGTTTCTTTTCCCCTTATCTATAGCTCTGAGCCACAGTTTTCAAGTTGTAATGGGCGAGTTTGGAAAAAACAGGGGCACATTGTCTGCAAGTCACCTAGGCAGTGAAAATTTACCAGAAAAGAGAAATAAAACCTGAAATCTCCAAGTTATTTTCCTAGGTGGAATACTCAAATAACATCCACCTTGAATTAGAATTAAGAAAAAAAATTATAATAGTCTTACCAAATAACAAAATACTTCACCTAAAAAGCACACACAATCATTAAATCCACAAGGCAATAGAAATTTAAATAATCCATTTCACCAAGCTATCTGCTATATGCTTGACCGGGCAATATAGATCAACAAACAAGCATGAAAAAGCTGATCAGACTTTAATTCAATGTAAGTTGCAGACTTTTAGCAGTCTATATGCATTAAGTACTAAATAAAAGCCATGTCACCAGGCATGTTTTTCTGGTCTGTTCACTCTTCACTCTGAGAAAGACAGAAAGAGAGAGAGGAGAGAGAGAGAGGAGGGAGAGGGACCCATCCCACTTCTGTTATCAAACGAACAAACATGGATAGAGAGATTATTGCAATGTGTTTCTCTGCCTGGTCGAGAGACAAACAACTCATTAATATTGAAGCGAGTTGGCTACAGGTATGATAATTGAAGTGCTTTCCCCAATGTCACCAATTTTGGAGTAACTTTTTGTAGTGTATCCTTGCTCACTGGAATCTCCGTGGTCGCCTGCGACAAATACAACATTAAAAAGAAAAAAAAAAACATTCTTTCATATAACTAAAAGAAAAAACCTAGTTTAAAATTAAACCCAATAGTGTCCCAAAACTTACATCTTGTACGCCCAAAGCCGGTTATTCCTTCTAAACCTTTGGAGTTTACCTAGTGATGTTGGTGTCCTAGGATGTTATCCGGTGGTGAGAGGTCGATGTCAACCGTGAGAAAGAGAGATCGCGCGAGAGAGAGACTGAAAGAGAGCGAGCAGAGAATGAGAAAATGAGAGATAGAGAGATAGAGAAAGAAAGAGATTACTTATTGATGTCAGTGTTCTTGGATGTCATCCGGTGGTGAGAGGTCGACAACGACGCGAGAGAGAGACTGAGAGAGAGCGAGTAGAGAATGAGAAAAGGGGAGAGAGAGAGAGAGAGAAAAAGAGATTAATAGGTGTCCTTGGATTTTGTTCAGTGGTGAGAGGTCGATGTCGACTGTGAGAGAGATCACAAGAGCGGGAAGAGAATGAGAAAAAGGGAAAAAGAGGAGAAAAAATCCCTCATTCGTGCCACAATTTGTAGTGGCAGTCGATGTATTCTATAGCGGCAGTTTTAAACGACTGCTGCTAGAGAATCTTATTTCTAGCGGCGGACGGCTTTTAGCCTGCTAATTTTTATTTTTCTTATAGTGATTGGACCAAATTAGGTCAGATCGGCCTTGGGTTTGGTGTCCAAAACATGCATCAATTCACATAGGTATTGATCTAAAATTCTCAATTATGATTCACAATTATATCAGCAAATAAATAGCATATAATAAAAAATAGATGGCTAGGGCAGATAGTCTGATGGTCCAAATCCAATCCGGACAAAAACTACATCCCTGCTAAACTTGAATCTCAGTCTTCTCTGCAAGCTCTGACGATTTCTCCAATGTAAAAAATAGAAAAACCTTAATTTCTATTGCTTATATCAGAAAAGCCTAATATACTCAATCTAGAAAAGAAAAAAATAATTAATTATAGACCAAATAATCAAATTAATAAATCTGGTGTGCACAGATCTTGCCACCATCAAGATTTTGATCTCCATCACACTTTCAACCCAAGATTTCAATAATCCATAATAGAACAATTCCATAATATATCAAAATGCATCTATAAAAATCAATGGCCCACTCTGAGAACCGAATTCTTAGAGATTTCTACTAACTCTCAAATCGGCTAGAATAGTTCTTTTTTATTTGAGTTTTGGCTCAAATCAAGTTTGGTTCAGTCCAAGGGCTGAACCTAGTGCTCTGATACCACTGTTGGAAGGGTTAGGATCCATAGTTGTCAAGTAGACCTGTTCACGAGCCGTGTAGCCCGACGGGCTGGCCCAGCCCGACCCGTTATTAAGTCAGGCTTGGTCATAATTTTAGGCATGTGGGCTTGAGCTCGGGCCAACTTTTTTTCGAGCTAGGCTTGGGCTTTCTCAAAAAATCACGGCCCAAGCCTGAGCCCGAGTTGATACAATATATTAAATAATAAAAATATATTTTATCTAATAAAAAATATATTTTATTTAATAAAAAATATATATACAATATTTTTTCTTTGTTCTTCTCATTTTTCCAAGTAATAGTGAAATTTTTATTATTTTTGAGTTTTGAAGGTTTTTAATATAAATAAAACATTTTTATTGAATAAAAAAGAAAAAAAATATGTTTTCAAATTTCTGGCTGGGCTCGGGCTCAAGTCTGGGCTTCGGGCTTTATATGAGGATCGGGCTCGGGCTCAAGACTTAGGCTCGACGGTCGGGCCGGGTTTGGGCTTGGGCCTGAGTGTATTTTGTTGATACATATACAAAGCTCGGTCCAAACCCAACCCGACCCAACCCATGAACAGGTCTATTGTTAAGGCGTCGCCTAGGCAATTAGGCGCCCTTGGCTGGGCACCTCGCCCAAATGCCTTGACTTTTTGCAACTAAGCGCTCTAGCCGACTAGGCACCCACCTAGGCAACAAAAATGACAAGGTGGGCGCCTTTTATAATATCATTTATATTGTTATATCTTATTAATGTATGTGTTAATACATTTTATTATATGCTATATATATATATATATATATCAATTATAATTTGTTTTAATGTTTTACTATTGAAATTTAATAGATCAGAGGGTTTTGAGAAGATAAAAAGAAAGAAAGAAAGAAAAGAATGAGGAAAGAGTAGAATAATAAAGTTCTTCTTTTTCTATTCCCTCTCTAATTAAATAAAACAGAAACTCCATGTTTGTTTGTTTTTTTTCTGTTTTACTTTCCATCTTGAATATTTATCATATAAAGTTAATAACCTTCTTTAGCTGCTAATTAATATGAATTTGCTCTATTAAATACTTATTATAGTAGTATTATTTTTTAAAATAATAAAATTAATATATGTAAAAGATTTTTATCTTTCAGATGTGATGATATGCCACATTTTTAGAGGAAATTTAATGTTGTTAATAAAGAGAATTTATATTTTTCAATTAACATACATGTTGAATGGTATATAAAACTAGGCACCCCAATGTCACCCAAAATCGCCTAGACGCCTTGAAAACTTTGTTAGGATCCATCATATGGATGGCCAAACCATGCTAGATACTTGCACGAAATTTCAAAAATTTCCTAATCCTTTTGGGAATTGAATTCCCTATGTTTTGAAAAATTGCATTTTTCAATATCGGTCTTGCACTAAACTAGACCAGATTTGAGACCAAACGAATAGGGAGATTAATACCTAATACGGATACTACATACACAGATCCCAAGGTGGAAGTTCAATCCCAAATCAGTCCAAAAACCAGCCTCCACTGAAAATGGCACAGTGTATAGGTGAAGCTGATTCAGCAATACAGTTTTCAGCAAAACTGTAGCCCAACTGCTTGATCAAACTAGGGAAGGTGAGCCTGAAATTCCTCTGAATTTTTCTTAAAAAAATGAGAAGAAAACTGATCTTTATCAGTCCTTGAAAGCCTAGGCAATGATAGGGTTTCTTGGAAGACAAAAAAGAAGAAGAGAGAACAAGAAAGAGCGGTCTTCTAGTCAGGTTCGCCCTCTTCTTCTTTCATCTCCTTATGGAGCACTCTCTTAATCAAATTAGGAGATTATCCAAATCTAATTTGGATATGGACTTTATTAAGAGATAAGTCGTATCCTCTTAAGAGGATGGGTGCTCCATATCCATTTCCAAACCCAGATTTGACCCAGAGTACATGACAACTTAAGTTATCATGTGACAGATTACTTAATCTTATTAATTATGGGAATTAGGCACATTTTCTTCAAAGGCTCACGACTCAAGATATTGCATGGAATGACCTCTCCCTTAGCTACAAGGTATAGTGTCACACTCTGTTCAAATGGATCCTGGGAATTAAAACCTATTAGAATCCAATCTGCCTTTGAATTCTGTTAGAATGATAACAATAGAAATAAGAGAAAGATGAGAAGAGAAAGAAGAAGAATAAGAAGAGAAAAGAGTAAAGAGGGAGAAAAGTCTGGTTCGAACAAGAGAGAAAATCAGTCTCTCCATTCGGCCAAATCTATTTTATATTTCTATTGATTAAGAAAGGACACCTTTTCCCCTACTTAAGTGAGGGACACAAGTGTTAACATAATTTTACACATCAGCAACTTAAACATAGGCATAAAGACAAAAATGCGCCTACATAGTCGACATTAGCACTCCCCCTCAAGCTGGTGAGTATATATCATATAGTCTCTGTTAGACAGTTTTGTATGCCCTTAGCTTCAATCCGATTTGATGTACTTTTGTTTTTTAGTGTAAATAAATGAAGTGCATGTTTGATTCATGTTGTTTGGTATGATTCTGTGTAAGACCCTAAAACTGGACACTTATAGAAACCCGTGTTAGTTTTAAATGTTCACAGCCATTG